GGCCGAGCCAGCTCAGCACAGTGCTCTGATATCAACATGGCCTCAGGAACAGTCCAGACCAGGGGTATCCACGTGACCTTTGGTGGTGACATGGGTCTGGAACTTCAACACTTACCCCAGCTGTGATAGGACCAAGGACCCAGTCATGGCCCCTGGTGGAAATATAGGCCATGGTTGTCTAGGTGGCAGCACAGGCCACTCAGAGCAGTTTGCCTCCCCACACCAACCCCAGCATCAGCATGCCCACAGAGCATCCACATGGTCTCAGGTAGCAGCCCAGGCCACTGACATCCAGATGGCCTTAGTTGGCAACACAGGCAAAGATATCAGCATTCAAGTCTGGTATGAGTCTTTACATCACACATACACGCACACACTCACACACACACGCACACACGCACGGACGCACACACGGATGCACAGGATGGGGGTGGGTGAGGAAGGAGGAGATACTGTCTCAAAAAAATTAAACACACATAATAAAAATACCCAGCTGAGGTAGGGCCATGGACCCAGACATGGTCCTTGGCAGCAGCTTGGACGCGAACACCATGGTGACTGTGTGCCAGCTCTTCATATTTGCCTGTCCCTCACCTCTGTTGCTCCTCCAGCTCCTCCTCTTTCTACAGAGCATGGACCACTCAGCTTTGCTTCCCATCTTTCCAGCAAATGCTCCGGCTTTCTCACGTCTCCATCACATATTTGCTCATCACAGGGGCACCAGCCGCAGGGCCAGGGTGAATGCTGGGGTGTCTTTCTTTCGGCCACTCAAAGCCGAGGGGGCCATGCAGGCCTGCTGATAATTCTTTTAATATCTCATTTACTTATTCTGTATGTTTGTGTGTGGGTATGTGTAGTGTGTGTGTGTGTGCATGTACACTCACTCACTACTATATTCATGCATAGTCTCACACTCTCAAACTGTGGAGATCAAGGGGCAATTAGTTTAAATCCGTTTTCTCTTTGTACCATGTGAGATCTAAGGATCGAACTCAGATCTTCAGGCTTAGCAACAAGCACCTTTACCCCACTGAGCCTTCTAGCCAGCCTCAGATTCATTGAGGTAGTGTACTGTTTGTGTTCACGTAAGTACTATCCTATTTAACAGTGCTCCCACTAGGCTTGGTGGCATGTGCCTATAATCCCTGTATTTGGAAGGCTGAGCCAGGAAGACTGTGAGTTCAAGGCCAGACAGAGCCACATAGCAAGATTCTGTCTCAAAAGAAAGAAGGAAAGCAACCTAGTTCCCAAATAATGAAGCCAGCAGCTTTGTTTTTTCGTACATTGTTATAATTTGTCATTAGTTATTTTTATTATGTGTGTTTAATTTTTTGAGACAGAATCTCCTCTTCCTCACCCTCCGCCCCCCACCCCATGTGTGTGTCTGTGTGTGTGAGTGTATAGTGTAAAGACTTATGACAGACTTGAATATATAGTGAGTTTGAAGCCACCCTGGACTACATGAGTCTGTGTCTCAAAAGAAAAAAGAAAAAAAACAAAGGATTCTGAGACACAGACATTACTAGTGTGGCTCTGGAGTTGGTGTGGCCCCCAGACCCTATGAAAGCCATTGAGCAATGCAGCTTTGGGCCAACCCCTGCCCTCTCTTGCCAAAAGCCTGCCTAAGCCTCCTAGGGGCTCTAGCAAATTCGGTTCTGTGAGCTTAAGGATGAAAGGAGAGCCCCAGCAAACAGAGATGGGAGGCACTTAACCCAGAGCAGATTTTCAACCCAAGCCCTGGGGCCCAGCTGGAGTCACTTTAAATTCCTCCATTCATCCAGCCCTTGCTGTTTGCACAGCCAAGAACCTGTTGTATCTAAAGCCTTGATCTTGAGGCTGGGGCCAGGGAGATAGGGCAGGGGCCAGGGAGGCGGGGCCAGGGAGGCAGGGCAGGGCCCAGGGAGGCGGGGCCAGGGCAAATATTGGCACTGACTCCTGAGCTGTCTCTCTGGCTGCTCTGCGGCCTGGCGCCAGGGGTGGGTTGGCTTGGCCCAGGCCCCAGGCCTGTATCTTCCTGGAATCCTTTATAGAGAATTGTTTGGGTGGTGGCTATGGCACCTGTTCTTTTATGTAGGACCAATAAACAAGAGAGGAACACATGCCAGCTTCTGTGGCACCTGCCAGGTTCCAGCTTCCCATCTGCGGAGACCAAGCTGAAGGAACAAGACTTCAGGAGGCTTGAGTCTTTGGACTTGGGGCTGTCAACCTTGAACCATTGGTTCTTAAAAAGCTGTGTGATACCTCTCTGTGCTTCTGGGAAGTTGTGTCCAACGATATCAGAATCCATGGTGGTAGGCTGGAAATAAAATGGGGTCGCAGAGGCAGGCTGATAAGGGCTTACCGTAGTATGCATTGGTACAGGGGAAATACTCACAGACCCCCCCCCACTGCTAATGCTGGTGAGAGCCACAGTCCTCTGGGCACCCCAGTCTTCCATGGGAATCTTTACAAATGTTCCTCCTCTCACTAAGCCTGCAGAAAAGCCTGGGCTAGACCCTGATTCCCCAGCCTCCAAGTTTCTCTTCACATGAAGAGATCCAACGTGTTCCTCCTGCTGAAAATGAACTGTGGCCTGCAGCCAAGACCCCTCTCAGAAGCCAGCATCTAAGGCTGTTCTGCACACTCCAGGCCCTGAGACTACCATGCTCAGGAACAGTGAGGTGCTCCATAAATGTCAAGCTACACAGTCTGCACACATCGCTTTGCCTTCAGTGTCACAGTGCACACAAGCTGCCTTGCCTCTCCCTAATAGGTTTTAATTAATCAAGTTATTTACTGTGTACGGTGCATGCGTGTGTGTGTGTGTGTGTGTGTGTGTGTTTGAGCATGCATATGGAGGCCAAAGGTAGACACTGGGTATCTCCATCACGCATTCTCCACCTTATTTTATTTATTTCCATTGATTTTTGTGTGCATGTGTGGACATACCTGTGTGTCAACAGAGGACAAGCCCCCCAGGAGATTGTTCTCTCCTTTTGGGTCCCAGGAATCAAACTCAAGGGATCGGGCTTGGAAGCAAGGGCCTTCTCCTGCTAAGCCAGCTCACTGTAACCCTGTCTTGTCTTTTGAGAGAGGGTCTCTCACTGAGTCAGAGTTCCCCAGGTTGGCTGATGGCTGTTCAGCCCCCAGGATCCTGTGCGTACACTGTACATCCGTACCCCCAGCACTAGAGGTACAGTTGTTCACCCCCATACCTGCCTAACCTGTAAGTGCTAAAAACTCAGACTGGGGTCCTCGTGCTTACACAGAAAGCACTTCGCTCACTATCTCCCAAAATGCTAAGACGCAGCTTGTTATGGTTTGTATATGCCCAGCCCAGGGAGTGGCACTATTTGGAGGTATGGTCTTGTTGGGGTAGGTGTGTCACTGTGGGTGTGGGCTTTAAAACCCCCATCCTAGCTTCCTGGAAACCAGTATTCTGCTAGCAGCCTTCAGATGAAGATATAGAACTCTTAGCTTCTCCTACCCCATGCCTGCCTGGATGCTGCCATGTTACTGCCTTGATGATAATGGACTGAACCTCTGAACCTGTAAGCCAGCCCCAATTAAATGTTGTCCTTATAAGAGTTGCCTTGGCCATGGTGTCTGTTCACAGCAGTAAAACCCTAACTAAGACACGGGTTTTATTTTTATATGTATATATTTTTGAGACAGGGTTTCTCTGTGTAGCTCTGGCTATCTAGATCAAGCTGGCCTTGAACTCACAAATTCACCTACCTCTGCCTCCTGAGTCCTGGGATTAAAGGCATGCGCCACCACTGCCTAGCAAGAGATAGTTTTTAGATTCTGTTTAAACAGTCCACTTTCTGGGCTTAATTTCCTTGATGGCACCCTCACTGGTCACTGCCAGCAGGATGAACTGAGACACTACCTGTATTGATTCTCTCTACCTGTATTGATTTACTCTCTCTCTCCTCTACTGTGCCCCCAACACACATACACCTTGTAAGAAAATTTTGATGATTCATTTTGAAGGTGCCTTGAGCCAACTTAGTCCCAGTGAACACTGAACAGAAAACACTGGCCCTCTGCTAATGCCTGCCGCTCTACAAATCCCTACACACACTATGCTAAGCTACACCCCATCCATACCTAAAAGTCGAGAATAGAAAATTACTCATAGCCAAGCTTGCCTGCATCTGATAAGCCTTGAAATACACAGGATATAAAACAGATGAATACACGCAAATGTAAAGGAGAAATGAGACCTCGATGCCTATAAGGCTGTGCCGGCCTGATCATTCACAACACGGGGAGGTCTTACGTTAGGGTTTATAAATACCCTCTGTATTCACTAGGCGAGCCTGCCACTCTAAGCTGTTGCCTTGCAAGGTCACAAAATAAACTGATTTACTTTTGCTAGTCTGAGTTTCCAGCACTCTTACTATGAAGTGGAGATCTTTGTTTCCTGCATATGCCCATGCTTTGGCCCCTCCAGCCTGTTGAATAATCCATAGTTTAATCAGAACTGTTACATGGCTCTCATATGGACCAAGCATGGCATGCCTTTCCTCCTGAAGATCGCCCTCACCTTCTACAGAGAAACCCAAATGAAGGGGCATTGCTGAGGCTTGTCCACAGCAGCATCACAGGAACCCCACATTTCTGCTGTCTCACTCATCCCTGCATGGCGTGAGCTGGGCTTTCTATAAGACCCCTACTGTTCACGTGCCAGGACCCAGACCTCTTCTCTGGGGGCCCAGCCCCCAGCCCCCAGCCCCCAGCCCCAGCTCCGAACCCCCAGCCCCCAGCTCCCAGCTCAGCTCAGAAATGGCTGAAGGAATACACAAGTGGTGAAAGAACAAATGAACAGCCAGGGCCCAGCTGCTCCTTGGATACCACTTTCAATTCATACCTCACAAGATATTAACAAAGAAAAACAGCTCTGTTAATTTCTAGTGGGCTATTTCTCTCTCTTCCAACAGAAGTCCTCTCCCCCCCCCCCAGCCAGATCCCAAGTCTGTCTTTCAGGATAAGGACAAGATACTTTTGTTCCTCAAGCTACGTCTTTAATACCCCTCCTCACAGATCCCCCCCCCAGCCAAGGTGTGGCTCTATTCTTTAATAATGGGGGAGGCCCTGAAGTCAGAGTTCCACAGACTGACTTTGAGTCCCAGTTCCAGGTCCATCCTGGGCAAGTCATCCCTTGGGCCTGAGTCTCTTCATCTGTCTAATGAACATACCCATCCTTGCCTGCCTGCGTGTTATGGAGCTAGAAGGTATGCAGGGAAATGGCTCGTTCTGGCTTCAGGACCTGAATATAAACCTGTAGGCAGTTGTGGGGTGAAGGCTAAAGGCATCGAGGGGTTCTTCTAAGCTGCACTTTCTCTGGGTCTGGAGCCACAGCCTCCTGGAGATTGGGAAACTAGTAGGTACCAGGTCCCAAGTGCTACATGCAACCTCATGTGATCAGTCGGGCTGCTGGTGAGTTGGGTAACTAACAAGCCACTGAGGCCTTGAGCGCAGCAGCTTCTGCCTTAGGCACCAAATGACGGTAAATGTGTGTGCTTTGTCTTCTACCCACAGGGCTAAACTCACTTGGCATTTAAGACACAATTTTATCTATCTTTTCAAGGGATGACAAGATTGGAACTTCAGGCCTGTTCTGGAGCCAAGGAGCGTGTCTCTTCTATGTGGTCCCATTGACAGGCCTAAAGGGACGGAGGCAGACACCTCATCTTTGTTAGAATCTACCTAACATGGTTGTGAGCTCCTTGTCATTGGATGTGCCCAAGTGAGACACTCGAAAGGAGGAAAGACAATTCCTGTTCAAAGACAATGGGGGCCGGGTGTCACTGGTAGATGGCAAAGATTTCTTCCTGCCGTTGTGGTCTAGGGTTTGATGCTCTGGTGAAAGGTTCCGGGTGCCAACTCTTATGGTGTGGATGGAGGGAGGCTCACTCAAGGTCCAGGACAGGAGTACTCATCTGACCAGTCAGAGCAGTGCTGCATTCCGTCCCGGCACAGAACCCTTGGGACACAGCTGCAGTACTTGAACACAGTTGGCGTGCAGCGCCACCACCCGGGGCCACAGGGTGGGCACGCAGTCACTGGGGAGACAAGAGCCAGTGGAAGAAGCAGCCTTTGAAGCTCTTGTCCTGGGCTCTCCAGACAAGAGGGTGCTCTCTAGATCTGCAACACACATAGCTCGTGCAGCGGTAGGCCATCCAGTGTGGGAATGACCATGCAGGCTTCCCTGCAGCAGCAGAGAGAACTGCAGCTTCACAATTCATACACAGGCCGTGTTGATCTTCTCGCCTGGCTAAGCCTCAGTTCCTGTCTGCTCAATTGAGTAAAGGAAACCAGACAGTGCCTGGAAATGAATGGATGTGGAGATACTGCACCGCCCAGCTCAGCTCCTGCTCCACCCTCACTCTGCCTTAGGGAGCCCTTGGATGCTCTGGGGGTGCCTCACTCCTCTGTTCCCTGTCCTGTATCTGTGGCTCCCCCATTCCTCTTTACACACCAGCCCTGACTGTTGGCCCCTGTTCTCTATGGCCTGTTCTGTGATGTCTTTTCTGAGACATCTGCTAGAGTCTCCTAGGTCCCAGTACTTCCTCTTGGCACCAGCATGGCGTGGTCCTGGGGGATGGGTCTGACTCCTGACTCTCCCTTCCAGAATATGGCACAGGCCACCTCAGCAGTGCTCAGAAGATGTCTGTGGATTTAACACTGGACATAGAATGTGTGTGCATGTGTGCCCACACAGACATGGACACAGATGAGTGCATGGACACATACATGGGCACTTGTGTGGAGGCAGAAGGTCTCCAGTGTCTTCCCTGATTGTCTGTCACCTTTTGTCTTTTGAGACAGGGTCTCAGGCTGGCCTTCAACTGTGAAGCCAATGATGACCCTGAACTTTTGACCTTCCTGCCTCTACTCTCAGAGCGTTGGGGTTAGAGAAATGTACCACCACAGCTCACTCACGCAGGGCTGAGGATCAGAGCAAGGCTCATGCACACCAGGGAACTGCTCGACCATCTGAGCTGCAGCCTTAGCACCCTCCATACCTTTAAAATTTTGTTTTATTACATTCATTTATTGTGTGTGCGAGTGTGCACCTGACATGGGACACGTGTGGCATGTGGAAGTTAGGAACCTGTGGTCTGTTCTGTCTTTCTACCATGGGGATGGGTTTGGGTCTTCTGCTGTGCAGCAGTGCACAAGCATGTGACTAAGCATCTCCCCAGGGCTGGGGAAAGAATGTAAAGATGTCTAAGGAGGTTGTTTACTCCATAGTCCCTCCTGTAGGTGTCTGCTCCCTTCTTGGTACTTGGAATTGCCCACATATGAACTGGGCCAGCGAGTTCTGCCCTGCTCTCCTCATAGGTTTGCTAGGAAGTGCCTAGGACAGAAGGCTCAGATCCAGAAAGGTTTCTGCAGTCTCTTTGCTCAGTCACCCTCTGGGTCCTAGTGCCCGTTAGTAACCTGAAGATAAGTGTTCTCCACGAAGAGCCTCTCATAGCAAGCACCTCTACCCAGAAGTGTTCAAGTGGAAGTGGAAATGTTCTTCCCAGGATTTGGGGACAGTACACAAGGAATTGTAGAGATTCCTGCTCAGCCCGTACCCTCAGCCACTACTCGCCTGTGCCCAGACCCCCACCTGGGCTCAGCTCATCTGAGCAGTCCCCACAGTTGTTGGTACCATCACATTTCTGGTCTGAGTAGATCCAGGAGTCTGGGTCTCCACAGGTGGTCAGGAGGAAGCTGGGGAGGCTCTGGGGCACATCTCCTATAAAGGGACAAGGGGGGTAGGACAAAATTCAGCTCTGACCACAATACCTCAGCCACCTGCAGCTGGATCACCCTGTCCTACCACAGGGTCTTCCCATTCATTCTAGAAAGGGTATAAGAGGTCTTCCAGGAAGGAAGTCTGTTCCAAAGAGTGGAGCGTTCTTACTCTGTGCAACCCTTGTGGGGTGACAAGGGATCCCTGAGAGCACCCCTTGTATGTCCCCACCCTCAGCATTGTGTGCATACTCACTGCAGAAGTCTCCCTTGTCACCTCTGCTAACCTGCCACCTTTAATCTAGGGTCAAGTTCCCTCCAGGAAGCCTCCGCTCATCAGAATGTAGCAGGTAGAACCGGATTTCTTATACATGGGCCCCAGAATTCCCGCCTACGTCAAGGAGTTGTGGACAGGGTGACCCAAATTCACACAAACCCAGGCCAGCCTCAAGGAGTGAGCTCCCCATCCTACAAACACTAGGCAGAGGCTGGGCGGTCTCTCTTGGCTTGCTGGAGTAGCTCATGGGATAGGAGCTGGGATGTGGGCCCAGTGAAGCTTTTTGTTGTTGTTGAGACAGGGTCTCATTTATGCAGGCTGGCCTGAAACTTGAAATGAATGACCTTGAGCTCCTGACCATCTGCATCTACTTTCCAAGTGCTGGGATTACAATGTGCACGAGACTCTTGGATTTGGGCTAAATGGTTCTTCAGAGTCCAGCTCTCAAGGATCTGAGGCACAGTACCTCCTACCCCTGCCCCAGATCATAGCTGTCTTCCTGCTTCGGGTCTCCCCACTAATTCATGCTTTTGTGTTTATTTCACATAGCCGAGCTCTATTCTCCTAAGAACAGGTGTCTAAGGCATGGGGCCAGGTCTTCTGGTTCATTCATTCACATACTCATTCATTCAGAAAGTTATTCCAGATAAGAGCCCTAAGCAGGGCTGTTGACCTCTGGCAGGACTCAGAGAAGGCTGCCATGAAGGGAGATCACAGGCGGTGGGTGGAGATGACATCGTAAGATCCCCCAGTGTACAGCAGAAGGTCTGGGCTGAGGTGCCATGTCACCACAGACGTGAGGACATGGAGGTGGTACTAAGGATGTTCCATGGAGCTGCAAGGGAAGTTAGGGTGGTTGTGGGGATGAAGAGGGGTGTGAGATTGAGGAATACTCACGACACAAGCTCTCAGCCTCATCCTCACCGTGAGGACAGGTGCGGATGCTGTCACACACCGCATGGGCTGGGATGCAGTGCCTTCGGTCATGGCACAAGAACCCCGTCCTGTTGGCCAGTGTCACACAGGAGTGAGTCTCTGTAGAGGCAAGAGAGGCCCTAGAGTGGAGGTGGAGCTCATAAACGCAACCTTGGGGTGGGCAAGGTGGGGTACACAAGGTCCCTCAGGAAGCCCCTTTGAGCTCCTGGAGGGCCTAGGGCAGCAGAGAGGCTCTGAACACCAAGGCATGTATGGAGTTGAAGCTGCCACTCTGCCATGGCAGGCACGGGTGACCTGGCCTCCTCCAGCCTAAGGGCCTTTGTCTTCAAAATAGAGGTCATAGCCTAGCCCCAGAGGTATGTGGGATGTTGGGAACATTGTTGTTCTAGACATTGGCCCACAGGCTGTGCAGAGTGCTTTGGTCACACAGGAAGCACTAAGAACAGCGTGCCATCTTTCACACAGCTTTAATGATGGATCTCCTGGAACAGGTTAGCTGGTTGGAAACTGTATATTTGGCTGTCTGGGGACAGCATGTCACAATCCCTTTCATCTGGGTATACCTTAACAGCAAACTTCCATATTTTTTATTGTTCCTCCAAGTACTTGTAAGAAGTGTTACCCTTAAACCCTTCCTGAGGAAGAGGGATGCTCACCCCTAAAGGTGACCCAAGATTTAAAGGATAAACTGACTTAAGGAGATGGAAGTCATAGGCTGTGCTTATGGGCACATGTGCAAGTGTATTTGAGCCAGTAGGAGTCATGTCTCCATTCCCAGAGCTACCTCAGCTGGTCACAGGAGGCACCCTTACGGACACACATTGTCGCAGATGCACACAGGAAAATAAACACATTCACATGCACATACCTGCACTCACATGCACACACCTGCACACACCGGCACACACCTGCACCTTCGTGCACATGCTTACAGCAATAGATGCACACACAAACACCTATCTGTGCACTGACACACGTGTACACAGACACACTGACAAGCACATTAGCATACATGCAGCCAGGTAACTGCACACATACAGGGATTCACACACAAGTGAACACAAGCAAGCAGGCACCTGTATGCACAGTCACACACACACACATGCACACAGGCACTCACACACATATGCACAGGCACTCACACACATATGCACAGGCACTCATACACATATGCACAGGCACTCACACACATATGTACAGGCACTCACACACACAGGCACAGGCAGGCCCCTGCATGCACATGGGCACTCACACACATGTGCACACACAGCTCATGGTCTGCACTGTCAGGTGGAATGCTGATTTCACACTTCCTCTTCCTCGTCCCTTAAGCAGCCCTGCCTGCCCATGCAGCCATCTCTCAGACAGCTAGGAAGAAGGATGGGACAACCCCCTCCCCAGGCTCCTGGAATATGACCTCCCTGTCAAGAGCAGCTTTTGAGGCCCTGGGCATTGACCCCACTCGCTTATATCCTATCCACTGTCTTCTTGCCTTCTCTCCTCTCTTGCCTCCTCCACAACTGTTGTTCCCAATGCCCATACATGCACAGGTATCTCTGCTTACACCTTAGGGAACCACTCAAGTCACTCAGGGAGAAGCCAGGCAGGGCTGGAGTCTCCATGCCTCTTTCTTGCCCCTGACCTGGTGTGCGGGATGGATGTCCAAAGACGGTGGCCAGAACAAGCAAGGCGGCAAGCATGGCCAGCAGGAGTAGCAGGGAGACAGAGAGGCAGGCCCCACGGCGTGAGCAGCAGAGGGGGTCACAGCCTGTGGAGGGGAAGACAATGAAGAGGTGAAGAGATTCCCCCAAGATCCCACCCCACTCTCCAGGCAGCCCTCCCGAGTCAGGGAGTACTAGGGCTAGAGGAAGCATTCGTAAGCCTTCCATGACACTCCCTGGCCCGGCCTGTCCTCCGTCATTACCAAATGCCACCAGGGGCTAGCCTCTGCTCCATAGAGGCTGTCTCTCCTTCCTGTCCTTCCTAGCTTATCCTCATGACCAAGGGCATAGGACAGTGGACATCTGTGTACCTAGAGGGGCCTCAGTGCCTGCTTGCACAGGGTGGGGTGGGGAGGATTATCTTGGTTGTATTCATTGAAGTGGGAAGATTCATTCACTGCGGGCGATACCATTCCCTAAATGGGATGCTGGACTGTGTAAGTGGAGAGAACTGAGCAGCAAGCGGTGACTGCATCCGTCCCTGTTCCCCACTGCGGGTGCGATGTGACCAGCCGCTTCCAGCTCCTTGAGTTCCCTGACTCGATGGACTGTACCTTGAACTTTATTTCTGTGGATGACAAACTGAGGTTCAAAGAAGCAATCGTCCTGGTCACTCCTGTTCTGGGTGTGATACCCATTTGATGCCAAAACCCAGACCCTTTGCTCACTTCCAGCCTAGCATCTGTTCTAGTGTCCCTCAGAATGTGGCCTGGAGTCCCAGCTCCATGGATTCCTAGCCGGGCCACACAGTGAGCCATTTGCTTTTCTGTGTCTCAGTCTCCTTGAGTGCTAAGCCAGTACCGTGAGGGTTCCTGTAGTTGGCTGAGGGCTGGTTTGTTGAACGATTATTCTAAAACAGCAGGCACTAAGTGTGAGCTAAGTATTTGCTGTTTGTCTACCAAGTGCCACGCTCTCTCTAGGCGTGTGGGGACAGCAGGAACGGCAGTAGCTGGCAGATGTCCCATGCTCTAGAATTGCACTTGGCTCTCTTAATTCTTTTTGCTTCTTTTTGTTTTTCAAGACAGAATCTAACTATATAGCTCTGGCTATCCTAACTCAGTATATTCAACCTGGCCTTGAACTCACAGAAATTTGCCTACCTTCACCTCCCAAGTACCTGGATTAAGGCTGTGTACCACTATGCCTGGCTTACTTCCCCTAATTCTTGCTTGCTTGCAAAATGAAGCAAAGCAGCTTTATTGGGTGCCTCGAGGGCACCTTGCTCTGTAGAAGGCATGAAAGTAGCTTTCGTCCACCTCAGAGAGTTCTCAGCCTCACTTGGAGGGCCAGACATGGTCAAGTAGGAAGGAGGGTAGAGACTAAGTCCCCTGTGTCAGGACACAGAAGGGCAGAGGCGGATTTGATTCAGTCCTTGGGCTCTTGGGCTCTGAGGCAGGTATAGCTCTCACTGGTGCTGTGTGTGGATGTGTGGGTGTGCGCATGTGCAAGTGTGCCAAGTAGAGATACAGAAGACAAGGGGAGGATCCTGATTTGGGTCCTGATTTGGTTTAATTCATTCCACTCAAGTTTCCAGTTACCTGTCAGCAAGACCTCTGCCTGCAGTGTCAAATGAAAGGTGTCTGGGGAGGTGTGGACAGGACCCTGAGGAGCTCTGGGTGATACAGGGACCTTGGGAAAACCAGTTGATTTATAAGGTGGGGCAGGGCAGAGGCCTCAAAGAGCAGGCCTTCCAGGGAGAGGGTGTGGCAGGAGAGGCCTGGTGTGATGAAGGCATGTGGGTGTGGGCTGGTAGAGGAGACAACAGGGCTACAGGAAACACAGTATACATCACAAACCTAGACTCCTAGAGCCCTGGTTGGTGGTTCCTTTGTGGTCAGTAACACAGAGTAAACTTGGGTCACCAGGGAGATTGTGTTGACACTGGCAGCAGGGCCAGCTGACTGGTTGATCCTCAAATATTTGTGCACAGTAAGTTGTGTGCAGGGGGTGGGGGGTTGTAAGCAAGACTGGAGCATGAGACAGAGCTCTTGCCTTGGTGGAGATGCCCACTTTACAGCCAGAAACTCCAGAAACTGCCCACCTAGGGCAAAGGAAGAAAACCACAGCTACAGCCAGCCACACTGAAAACAACTTGGAAATAGTCACCAGCATGGAGAAGCAACCAGGGGCCTCCTATCCAATGCCACATTACCACTGACCTGATTACCCAACCTCTTTTAGCTTCAGCTGTTTCTAGTACCCCAGCCACCCAGAGCTGTCCTAAAGGCCAGGAAGCCGGGAGCAGACATCACCACCCATATTGGGATAGAAGAGCTGTAGCCTTGGATGCTCTATGCCCAGCTTCAGGGGAGTTCCCAGGGAGAGACCCACAGCACCCAGCCTGACCCCCATCTCTGTTCTTACCTTCGCTTCCAGGGCGAGCTTTCCTTCCAGCGGCTGTGTTACTCTCCACATCTGCCTGCCCGAGAGACCAGAAGCAGACTGGGCAAAATTCTGGTCTCTCACAGCCCAGGCTCATCCTGCCTGCTTCACGTTCCCACACTTTCACCTGTACAGTAGGGTAGCTTCCACCCAGTACCCACTCCTCCTTTGTCCTCCAAAGTGACTCAGGCAGTCCTCCTGGTGACAGTGCCCTAACACACCTAGGTGTTTGGTGCTGCCACTCAGCACTCCTGACTCTCACTTGGAGTGAATCCCCACAGCAGATAAATGTGGCCTAGGTCCTAGGGTCCCCTCCCCAGAGCCCTTTCCATCCCCAGGATGGCCCCTAGGTCAAGAGTCAGTCAGGCCCAGGCAGCTTTTACCTGGGGGACGATTTTGTTCATGGCACCAACACTCATCTCCAGGAACTGGGGTAAAGAGAGCTCAGTGTAGTGTCCTCTGCCTTGTCACCAAGGGCAGCTTGGGGGAGGGAAGGACAGCAACGGGCTTTGTCAGGGCTGTGCCCTCCCCTGTGACACTCTCCTCCCAGGAGGAAAGGACATGAGTACCTGTTCCTACCAAGTCTTTCCCTAGGTTGCAGTTGATAGTGGTACATCCCATTCCACAGATGACAAGCTGGGGTTTGTGCCTCAAGTCTCACTATACGTGGGAGAGATGAACCAGGACTTTGGCACATTTTCCTCCTCTGCATCAACAGACTGCAAGATGGCAAGGCCCCCCAGCTGAAGGAAGCCACAGGCAGAAATGCCATGAGTCTTGGTTCAGTGGCCAGAAGGCAAAGTTCCTTTTCTCACTGATGAGCTGTTCATTAAGTAGGTGATCTAGGTCAGAAGAATATGTACTTCTGAGGGCCAACAGGATGGCTCAGTGCCTGGGGACCCTCATTTGAGTCCCAGGATAAGTGTGCAGGTGCAAGGAGAGTGCCCACTGCACAGTTGTCCTGACTCCACACATGCGAGCATGCACCCCTACCGCACACACACACACATATCCTGACTCCACACATGCGAGCATGCACCCCTACC